GGCGGTGCTCCGCTTTCCGACGGAAACCCGCTCGTATTCTCTGCCCTCGTATCCCCATTTCCTCTTATCCGGCCAAGTAATTGCACCGAGCCGCGGAATCATTCGTCGGTTGATTCTTTCCAGTTTGAATCGTGTCGGATCTGCTACCGTTTGAATTCATTTGCGTAATTACGCCACATCGCTGGGTATCTATCGGAAAATAATAGGCACGGGCAAAAGGGAAGAAAAAAAAAAAAAAAAAAAAAAATGAGTTCCGGTTTTCGAAGCCGGCCGACTTTTCCATCCAAAGCCCCTGGAGAGACCGGTGATAGATCCGAATTAAATTTCGGTTGGTGTTGATCCTCGCGAAACGACGGTAATTGCTTTCGTGTCCCCCTCGTCTGACGGTTGGAAATCTCGATCGGGTAAATCTCGTCGGATTTTCTTTATCGATGTTCGCGTGCACGAAGAACCTCCTCCCCGATGGCCGACTTTGAACTAGCATTGGTTCTCCTGTGTGATTATCTCGCTCGTAGAGTTGGGAAAGATATATTTTGGAAATAAAATAATTTTTTATGGAAACGAGTAGTAGTTATATAAAGAGATCGTGTTTTATGTATATAAAGGGTGTTTCAGATTTTTTTGCAGAAAAATATTATGAATAATATAAGTTAATGTAAAATAATAATAATATGTACGAATATATATATATATTTATTAATAATAAATATATATATAATAAAATATTAAATTTATATTTTATTAAAAATAATAAAATATATATAATATATATATAAATTTTATTAAAAAANCAAAAATATAATAACAATGGATAATTTAATTTTTTATAAGATAATAATATATTGAGCTCTATAAAAAAAATTTTGTTTTTCTAATATGTCCGATTTATCTCGAAAAATATGAAATGAATTTTAGATAAAAATTTGATATAATTTTTCTATAGATTGATGTATAAGGATATGTTTATAAGAATCAATTTTAATTTTTTAAATAAAATTGTATAATTTATATTATATTAATTGGTACAATATTGTAACTTGAAATTTATTATATAACATATGATGAAGAAACACGCGAAACAATATTTTGCTATTTATGCTTTTTTTACTTTTTTTATATAGTAATTAATAATTTTTTGATATAAATAGAAATACTGCACCGATTAGTAAAATCAAAATTATATAATTTCATTTAAAAAATTAAAATTGATTCTCATAAAATCTCTACGTGTCAATCAAATTATATAATAATACATAATATATCTCTTTGAGAATTCAAGATAAATTGAGCACATAACCTCTTACCAATCATATCTAATTAAGAATAAACTAAATAACTGATTTTCAAATTCATTTTGTCCTACAAAAAACTTTCAATTATTTTTCTTATTTAAAAAATAATCCCTCCTATTTCGAATCAAATATTATTTCCCACATTTCATTAAAATCAGAAATTTTGGACCACGATGTACATCTTCTCAGATTGCGTTTCGGCCACAAATCAAGCGGTTAGGTTAACTCGAGAGGGTTGAATCTTGATCGGGCAAAGACCCTCTCTAGTCGTGTCGCGACGGTTCGTTATCGAAATTTCATTTGACCGCGCAGATCGGTGTAATTAATCTCGATCGGTCCTCCGCGAAACATCTCACCTCGAGCTCCGTCGATAATTACCAACCGAGTCGGTTGCGTAGAAATACTTAAGCGCATCTAATGAAGGGAAACGCGCCAAGGAATTCGAAAGTTCGTCGACCGGATGTCGAGAAAAGCTCGATCGGTCGGCGGAAATGGTGCGTAAACTTCACGTGGATAGAAGAACAGCATGGGGTAATTCGGTAGAGCGTATTTTCCACGGAAATGATAATTGGCAGTCAGTGGCAGACGTGAGACGCAAATTCGCGCGACGTCACGCTCTGTGTGTAGAATTTCGACGGGCCACCCGAGTCGTTTCCGCTCGAAACTGCGTATTTAGAATGTTTATGATGTACGGTAGAATTTATATACGAATATCGATTATGCAAAAAGAGTATTATTCGAATTTCTCTTATCTGAAATGAGATTTGAAACGAGTCACGTTTGTATATTTATTGAAAGTGTGTATCTTGAAATGTTTACATTTGTTCGATATCGAATGCTCGAATTTAAATTTCTCTCAATATTTTCTAACACTTTACAAATTTTTTTATATATTATCTCAAAATAGTCTAAAAAAAAAAGTTTTAATCAAATATTTTATATCGTAAAATATATATACTTTTAATTTGTACGAATAAAAAAAAAAATGAAATAGTATTGAAATTGAATTTACGGATTATTTTCTTTCTGCTACGATTTTTCAAATAAAAGAAAAAAAAATGAATAATAGCATTAAGAGAAAATTAAATTTTAATAATAAATTCTATAATATGATAAATCTCAAATTATCAAATTACAAATTATCTTTTGTGTTTGTATTAATCTGTATAATTATATCGGATTCTAAATTAAGTGAGTATTGAATATATTTGAATAGTCAAATTTCGATTAATTGGATATTTGAACTTAAATATGAACATTCATAGATTCGAATAATAGTCAAAGCTTTATCATAAATATATGCAATATTGCGTGATATTGAACGAGCAAATTTGTTTATGCTTGTTCCAAAAGATTTTTTCTCTAAATATATAAAAAATATAGTTTTCTAAAAATATAATAAATTTAAGTATAATAATCGTGCAATCAAAGAGAAAATAACGCAATGTCAAAAAGATTTGAGATCTGCAATCTCGTTTCTCACGAATGAAAATTCACATAATTTTTTGAAAGTAATGTGTCACATAGTTAGACAAATTTTATTCGAATAACAAATAACGAATTAATCTAAAGATATTATATAAAGATTTATAATATTAAATTATGATAAATTTGTTTTTAAATTGTTTATAATTGTTTTGAAACTAGTTTATTTCTTCGTATGTCAAGATACTTATAGATTTGTATTTCTATTGATTCAAAAATATTGACAGAATTTACTAAATTTATCCTTGTGAATATACTTAAATTCATTATATAAAACTTTTATATAAAAATTAATTTTAATCTATTTTTAATCTGTTTTTGTGAATTTGTGATTTTGTGATTTTTATGAATAAACACAAGAAACAAAATGCCCTACTCAATCTCAATATTTATTTATTTGTTGCTAACGTATTTTTATATTTGCTAAATTAGATCAAATTTTATACATATAAACAAAAAAATTTTGATTTCCTTCTATATTTCATAATTTGTTAAGCATTCTTTGTATTTATATAAGACTAGAAATATTTCAGTTTTAATAAAAACTAATATAATAACAAAATTATTTATGTAATTATTTATGTAATTATAACTAATGTCAATGTGATATAAACATATTTAACATTTTTATTTTAAAAAGTGCCATGACTCATTTGGTTCATCGGCTATAGAAAATCGTTTTTGCTACTTGAGTCATCATATGAGTCATATTATAAGTAAAATTGCTGTTATGTTTGCATTTTAAAAACATGCAATTAATATTGATAGAAATATTTATAATATATTATAATATATTTATTTCAAAAACAAATAAAATTATTACAAAATTAAGTGAAGATAAACATAAATTGTAATATAAGAAAATTATTTATCATATATATAATCATATAGATAAACTATGTACTATAATTTTCATAATATTGTTTGAAAAATTTAACTTAAGCATATCTCTTGAATTATTGAAATCTATATTTGAAATCTACATTTTCATCATCACTATTTATATTTTCATTACAACATTCTTAAAGTTAATAAATTCAAAAAGTTAAAAGTTAAAGTTAAAGTTAAAGTTAATAAATTATATATTTTTTTAATTTAGCTAAAATAATTTTATGCTACAATTCATCATTTGTGACAATTATCGATATGATATAAATATTTTATTAATAATTGATATATCAGTAATAAAATATTGGTATTAATTAAAGCCATTAAAGCATATGAAAATATTATCTATAATACAAATAATTGCGAAAATAAATAAGTTTTATTAAATAATTACAATAAAAAGTTTCAATCAAAATAAATAAACTTCATTGAAAAACTTGTTTATTATAATTATTTCTATTCATTTTATCAATATTTTATTAAAAAATATTTTGAATATTAATGAAATATTATTAATCCTTAACAACATTTGCAATAATAATTTTAAGAAAAATATCATATTATCATATTATTAAATTATTTAATAACATATCTAGATCAATAATTCAAGCAAAATAATTTGCATTAAAGGCAGGAAGGAAATAAAAAAATAATATGAATTTCTAATAGTGATATACCTACGTCATTGGTTAATGGAGAGAAAATTCATATGACGTAATGTGTTTTCCCAGACTTGAATGCGTTAATTTATCAAATATTCCATTAGTATTTGAAAAATATAGTATATTATATAATTTTTAAAATGAATGATTCAGAAATGACATTTATTAATGAATTTTCTATTGACGAAAATTCACGAGTGTGAACGAAAATTTTATTAAATAGTCAATTTGTTGATTAATAAGTTTGAAATATGTGTTAAGGACATTTACTATTTTGAATTTTGTAGCTTTTTCGTAGTATGTCAACTGGAATACATCAACGTTATGATCATTATAACACTATATATATAATTAATTGAAAATTTCATAAAATTTATATAATTAATTTTTATTTACTACAGTATTTTGAAAAGACCATTTCTATAGAATATTATGCAAAAATTACGACAATCATTGATTTGATAAATTTTTAGACATAATCTCATATAATACAATATTACTTACATTACATTATTTTTATTAACATTCCTTTAATTTTATATAAGTTTAATACGATAATAATTTTTATGATATTTTTATATGAAATATCTTATAAAATATTTGTTGTTATTTCAACAATAATTTTAAAATAATTTGAAAATTTCTCAAAACGTTCAAATTTGCTTACAAAATATATAAAACATTCGTATATGTTTGATCTTATTCACAAGTAAATAGTTTACAAACATTGTCTAAATTCGAAAATACTCGTGTATTCCTGAGCTTAGGGATTTAAAGGCGCATATTCGAGCAAATAGTTCATAAACACTGCCTAAACTCGAAAACACATGTATTTCTGATCTTAGGGATCTAAAGGCCCCTATTTACAAGTAAACAATTCAAAAACATTGTCTAAAATCAAAAATATCTATTTATCTCTGATTTTAAGCATCTAAAGGCGCATATTCATGAGCAAATAGTTCACAAATAATTATTAACGAATTTTTTATTGCCTAAACTCAAAAATACCTGTCTATCTTTGATTTTGGAGGCTTAAAGGCGTGTATTCACAAGCAAACAATTCAGAAACATTATCTGAATTCAAAAATATCCATTTATCTCTGATTTTAAAGATCTAAAGGCGCATATTCATGAGCAAATAGTTCACAAACATTTACTAATGAATTTTTTATTGCCTAAACTCAAAAATACTTGTCTATCTTTGATTTTGGAGGCCTGAGTTCAGATTCATTGCCTGAATTCAAAAATATCCTTTTATCTCTGATTTTAGGAACCTAAAGGCGCATACTCATAAATGAATTACTTGAACTTAAAAATATTGAATTTTTGATCTTAGGAACCTAAAGTCACATATTCACAAGCAAACAGTCACAACAAACATTATTTGAACTCAAAAATATCCATGTATCTCTGATCTAAAGGCGCGTATTCACAAGTAAACAGTTCAGAAACATTATTATTTGAACTCAAATACTCATATATTTCTGATTTTAGGAATGTAAAGGCGCATATCCATAAACAAACAATTTACAAACATTTACCAACGAATTTTCTATTGTCTGTTCAAAAATATTCATGTATTCCTGATTTTGGGAACTTTTAAAAGCGCGTATTCACGAGCCAACAGTTCACAAACATTCCCTGAATCGTTTTTGTCCCAATCGAGAGACTGCACTCGAAAATCAAGATCTCTTGGAACGTTGCTCGACGAAAATCGTTTCACACGTAAACGAGGTGTCGTCTTCGTCTCGATCTCCACCCCTTTCGCCAAGTCAGCCTCGCGTTCTTTCTGCGATCGTTTCTTTCGTCTCGTCTTGTCTCGTCTCGTCGTTCCCCCGACGAGTTATGCAACTTACTAGGCAGTAGATGCCACAGTCGATGCTAATTGGTCGAAAATAAATACCTCTGTTCAACGATTTTCTCTTTTCTTCGTATTCCAGGTCGAGTTTAGTCTCGTTTGAACTCGTTGTTTCTTTTCTCGTCTCTTGATCGGTGACTGCCGAACGTTTTTTCTCGACATTGAGACAACTTCGTTGCAGTAACGTTTTCTTGCGAGACAAACTAATTTAAAAATAGTACAAGGATACGATAGACGTACTTCTATGCGAACAATTTTCAACCTCTGTTTGATCTATTTAAGGAAAGGTATCATTTTGAAATACTTTAGAATTCAAGAAGAATAAGATGTGAGAATTTTTCTCGTGGATAATTATTAGACGAAAAGAGGATGTATAAAAATTTTTGACTGCGTTTTTAAAAATTAAAAATTCTTGTAAGAACTATAAAAGTGTTTTTAAAAAAGGAATAAAAAAATGGATAAGAAATTATTACTTTTCAGAAAAACGATAGGAAAGTTAGTAAAATGAATACAAATGTGAATGTTTTTGTCGTCTTACTCTATTTCTGTCTTACTTCATCCAATGCTAATTTCAATCATTTACAAAGAATAACTAATATAGTTATTAAATATAGTTATTAAATAAATGATCTTTTATAATATTGTCAAAACACTTTTATTAAGTAAATAATAACTCATTCATTTTTTAATGTAAATGTTATAATATTTTGTGATATTATTTTTTTTTTCATAATTCTGCAGAAGAAAAAACTATGATAAAGAAGCAATCTGTATCAAAAAACTTATAATTTTGGGGAGAAACAAATTAGCAAAAAAATAATAAAAAAAAAATTATAATATTAATATCAGATAAAAAGAAAAATATTAGATTAATTTATTTATTATCATATTAATAAATAATTAACTAATTATAAAAATTATTTATAAACTTTATCAATAGATTGGTCTAGATGGATCTAAGTATATATGTAATTAATATATATTTCACAATTTAAAATATATAATTCAACACTTTCTGTGTTACAAAAGATTATTACAATTCACAAAGGAGAGCATTTCAAGAATGAAAAATTAAAATCCATTATATATATAAAATATTATTTGTAAATAATGTTTTTACAAATAATTATTAAAAAAAAACATACATATTTTTCCAACTTAAATATAATGTAAAGTTAAAAGAAGAAAGAATTCCATCTAAAAATTTTCTTAAACTTTAAACGTTGAAACAGAAATTTTTTAAAGTTCATTTTGTAATTTTTGTTTCATATACATCAATCTTATTCCTTAATAGTCATACAAATTACCAAGATTTGTTCTCGAATCCCGAGAAGAAAAGAAAAAGCATTGACGAGAATCGACCTATTTCAACTTGGCGATATAATCGAACCAGAATTGCTCGATGCGCCGTGATGTCTTCCCAGTGACCTCTCACACCCCTTGCTCTCGAACTCGCGCCCCCCTCTACATCACCATTCGATCGAAAAGACTCACGTAAGTACATAGCGCTTACGTATATTCACGTGCATCACGTACTTAGATCACGTCGAACAGTTCTCACTGGAGGATTTTGGGAATCATCGGACGACCCGTCAATTTGGCAGCCGTCACGTTTCTCTTTTTCTTCGATTGCTCGACACCACCCACCCCCATTTGTCTCTTCGAAAACACGAGATCGACTTCTTTGAAAAGGGGAACTATCTGAGATTAAGGAAATCTGTGCAAAATAGTGAAATGTTTAATAATGATTGAACCTTGTAGAGATAAAAAATATAATAATTGATTAATTAATTAACAACAAGTTTGTATGTAATGTTTAGGTATTATAATATTATTAATGATTTATATATGTTTACATGTTATATATTATATTATATATATATATATATTATATTAATAATTTTTCTATTTTCACTGATTTATTTTATAATTGGAAATTTGAAAATTTGGATTAAATGTTTGTAATTTGAAAATTTATTATACATAATTTTTACTTGAATTTTTTCTTGTTTGATTTCGTTTTTAAAAAATGTTAGAAAAAGAAAAACAGATTGCAATATTTATTTCAACTTTTTAAAAGATTCTAAAATTTTATTTATTTGTTTAAATTGTTATTCCTTTTTCAAGGGATTAAAAAATAAAAAAAAGTATCTCATATTCCAACTTCTTTTTTGTAGAATAAATCTACCAAGAAATATTGAGTTGATGGGAAAATAATGTCGATTTTATGAATGTAGAAATAAATCAATTTATTCTAATATATTCACAAATCATTTGAATTTCATATTGTACAATTGTTATATATTTTAATAATAAATGTTTTCTGTTTTCAAGACATTTTTCAAAAATTTATACATATATTAATAATCTTATTATTCATATTTGTATAATATTATCCTGTAATTTGAAATTTAACTAAATTTGATAAATCATTTACTAATACATATAGTAATTATTTCAAGAATATAGGGAATATTTCTTTGAAGAATGCTTTATATCACATACATTTATATCTTCTTTAAATTTATGAATATGAATACAAATAATTGAAATTTTCTTTTATTCTTCTATATGTTCACAGTTATAATTTTATATTAATTTCTACATAGAGACATATTTACATTGAGACATATTTACATATATTGAGTTCCAAGTTTCTTCATCGACCAAGAGCAAAGTATTTTGTGAATACATTATTATATAAAAATATAATATAATTTCTTATAAACGATAATTATTAATATTATTTATTAATAACGAGTCTAATCATTTTTCTTATCAGGATAAAAAAAAATGACATATTTTCCACCAATCTAATATCTACTCTGATATAAACTTTGGCCATTCTTCATTCTTTATCGATTCAATTTACTTTACGACGAACGAAATCCTAGAATGTCGTAAACTTTGTTGGACTCAATAAAACCGTGCTTGTGAGAACAATCAAACAAAATCCTGTGATAAATAAATTCTCGTCTCTGGAAAACAACAATATATCGCGATATTCTTGTCATTTTTTCCATAAAGTTGCATCAATTGATAGAAAAAGTAAAAAATAGAAAAAGAATTTTTTTTTCTTCGATAAAGAAAAATTATAATTATTTTTATTTGATTAAAAAATTTTATATGGGATAAATTCAACGGAAATGGATTTTGTTATGTTAAATTTAACGCTATTTACATAATTTTTAAAATATTTATTTAAAAAATTATTTCATTTTCTAGTAGATAACTTTTTAGATTCCAATCATTTCGAAAATATCAAATTCATGGATCAATATTACGCAAAATATTTTTCAAAATGTAACGAATATTAAATGAAAATAAATCTGCCATTATAAGGAAGCGTTCAAAAAACTTAGGACTTTTAATCATAAATTTATTTCATAACAAAATATAGAATTCTTCTTTAAAATGGATTGGAAGTCTTTTTTCCTAAATGCATTTTAACACATCAATTTTGGAATCACTTTCAATACTTTTTTCAAATAACGATTACTTTCTCTCGAAATATTTTTTTTAATACACGTTTTAAATACGAGAAAAGAAAGGATTGATTATCATTTTTGCTAAGATTTCATAGACAACAAAAAAAAATTATTAAAAATATTTGAATCAATAATATATTTTGGATTATCAAATCAAAAAATAGAAAGATGAAAGCAATTGTGAAATGAATTTGTATTCACAAATTGAAAGCAATGCTTCCAGCAGTATATACTTAAGGAAAGACTTCGTTTTAAAGGAAATTCATCGTACCATTCCGTTATATCTTGAAATAAACAATTTACGACAAAAGTTTCGAAACTTTTTGAACGCGTCTTGTAAGTACAGTTAAGTTCGGTAACTTGAATCCCAAAGGAACAACTAAAAATCTTACGAAGATTTCGCCTTATCGAAGTTTTCGAGTAAGAGAAATTTAACCGTAAACAACTTGATTCTCTAAAGGAAATTCCTTTAGAGTGTTCGATAAAAATTCCGGAATTTTTTCAGATTTTTCCAATAAAAAATTAGACAGGAATAAAAAAAATTCAAACTATCTATCGTTTTCGAATAAAGTATATAATTGGAAAATTTGATGAACAAAAATTCGAATTTTTTACATATTAAAAATTAAGATTTTTCTTAATGTATGAACTCAAAGAAAGAAAAATTCGTCGTTTTTTAGTTTCAAGTATCAAGAAAATTTTTTATTATTAAAATATCGAATACTAATTACAATCTATAATATAAAATTATTCGATAAAACAATTTCGAGTACAAAGAATTAAAGAGTAAATCTCCTAATAATAATAATTATTAATTTATACAAAATTTATGATGTGATAAATACAATTTATATTTAATGCACAATAATTGAGAATATTTTACTGCCTAATAAATTCTCAGATATTTCAAAAATAGCGAATAGCTCACATCATAAACGAGGTGACCAATGTTCATTTGACCCGTGCTTATATTTAGATGGCTGGTTGATGTGGCGTTTTGCCCTTTCTATGACAAACAAAAATAACATCCATGATTGACTATTTTATGGCTATGAAGATCTATATACCATATATATTTAAAGGATCTATTTTAAAGGTTAAAATAGATACAAAATTTAACTAATATATAAAAATATCAATTGAAATTTAAATAAAACAAAAATTGAGCGAAAATCCTATCTTCTATTTGTAACTTTAAATGCTCATAATCTAACAAATAAATCTCAACTCTCCAAAAATATCCTAATTACAAATTATCCATTTTTATAAATTCCATCTATCGATATAATCCATTCATTATTTCCGATAAATATTTAAAAAAAATATCCTAGCATCTTTGAAAAAACCGAAAAGAAGAATACGGTTCTAATAACTCTACGTGGAGCAACACGGTACAATGTGTAAAATCCGAGGAAAACACGGGAGAGAGCGGATTTACGAGGTTGAGAGGCGGTCGAGTGGTGTTCGCGTAGTTAACCATGGAGCGATAAATCAATGCGTTTACCAGCATGCGAGGGATGGACGCGCCTTGTAGATGAACCAAACGATATTTATGCAACGAACCGCTCGCGTATTCATGGCTGGCTGGCTCGCATGCACGGTCGCGTTCGCGACAAGCCGCCGTT